GTGTGTGTGTGTGTACATATATATAATAATATATATATATATATATATTATAGACATTATACTTATATATTGATATTGATATATATATATATATTTGAATATTTATATATATATATATAGACACAAGTAAGACTACATACAAAATACATCTACCTTTCCCCCTCCCATGCGCATGACCCTCATGTTCATCCTCACTGTCTGTCTCGTTGTTGTCGTCGTCATTAACTGGTTCATCCGATTGGTTACTGCTATCCGTATCTGAATTATCCTGTTCTGCCTTAGAGTCGTCTCCGGTTTCGGTGCTACTTGTACCTACAGTCGATAATACGTACATAACCGGATAAACATCACGCACGGTTGGTACGCCCAGGGTGAATTGTTTACTGATAGGATATATATAGTAAAGTTTTACTGGTGATATATGCATACGTATCGCACGAGTTGTGTTTTACCTCAAATCCGCGATCCGCTTACATCTTAGGCGAAAGGTGTACGACGGGATCAATATCAAGTACGCCAGGCATACCCCAGGACGGACTGATTATTGATACTGAATGTATCGACTTATGATAGTAAATGGTAATTCTCAATTTAATTAAACATATATATATGCATATCCATTTCGCTTGAGCTTAATACTGAATGAATCGACTTACGATAGTATATGGTAACTATACAGTTTAACTAGATATATATATATATATATCCATCTCACTATTTTTTAGGGTTTTACTTATGATAGTATATGGTAATTATACAGTTTCACTAAACACACACATATATATATCCATCTCGCTTGAGCTTGATAATATAACTAGTCATATATATATATATATATATATATCCATCTCACATTTAATACTGGATGAATCGACTTCTGATAGTATATGGTAATTGTACAGTTTAACTAAACATATATATATATCCTTCTCACTATTGATAATAAATGAATCGACTTATGATAGTATAGGGTAATTATACAGTTTAACAACAGATATATATATATATAGATATCAATCTCGCTTGAGCTCCGAGCTACCTCGCTTTTTGCCTATATAAAGTGCCCCAGGGCGGATAGACTGCTGATACTGAATATATCTTCTAGCTACGCGAACATAATGTTGTAGGCACGGCAGATAATGCTGGTATGTAGGTTTACAGAACAAATATACCTACATATTATACCACACATACCACACCCATGGACCTACCTACTGGTTATACAGCACACACTACACCCACCTCTCCTTCTCCTTCTCCGCACAACCGGGGGATCTGCCACATCTAATCCCACGAGCGTTTCTTCGGCCAAATTGGCCATATCACTGTTCACTGTCTGCGGTTTGTTGTGCAACTCCTCTAACGGAAACACTTTCTTCTCATATTTTACTTCATCGAGATTCCGATTCGGCGTCATAAACTTGTCTTTCTCACCGAATCTGTATAGAAGAAAGAGACGCGCATTTGGTAATAAGCCCGACTTAAATTTATCGTTTGAAGGATATAACTTTTATACTTTTAGGATGTG